TTGGATACAGGTTAAGTTTGAGCTTCTGGCAAAGAATTTTTTTGTTAAAATTGATTTCAGGTCACATCACCGGTTAAGTGGGAACCTACAGTTGCCAAAAATATACAGTTCATAAGTAGTATTATACAGGCAGCCAAGGTACGCAAAATTGCTTCGTTCTCTACGTCTATGATCGTATCCTGCTGTTTTAGGCATATGGATTAGCAGTTGGCATTTATACTAGTGCTTACGATTGGCAACAAATCACAAATGACTGGTTGGGACCCACTGACACCCTTCTATGGTAATCTTGCCACTGATGCATTGATTTTGTATTAAGTAAATTAGAGCTGAGGTGTAGGTATTGGAGCGTACTCGGACCTGGTCCGATGGCGGAAACATCTAACAATTTTGAGGATTATCATCCGTTTGGACCGTGGAAAACGCCTGCTGTTAAACAGTTTGGACAACAGGAACCTATCTGTGGTCAGACGGTGAACAGGTACCAGTGAATACCTACGTCTTGTATTATAAGATCATAAGTCTGTTCTTCTGTTCTATCGATTCTATAAAATGAGATGAAATTGTTTCAGAGATGTATTCACTCCAACAGTGCTCGCAGCGCGATCAGCCTTTACTGCTTCAGATGGTAAAATTCAAATTGGCGGCTATGTTTGAAATCAATAATTCAATAAATATGCATAATTTGATATCATTCTTCTTTAATGGCTTGTTTGCCTGATTATGAAATGTATATCTTATAGTTTAGCACATACTGTATAAGAGCAATCAATAAAAGAAAAAATAGCCCAGTTACCTGGTGAAGACTATGTCTCGTTGGGTATCAGACAATGTTCTCACGGCTGTTCTGCATTTGCTTACTTCAAAGCGCAAAGTCGCTGACTTGATTGCATTTTACCAGCAATCTGTAAAGTAAGTCCTTATCAGTTCTGATAGCTTACCCTTATGAAACCTGTAAAAGGAATATGTGATGATATCAGCAAAATCTGATCAAGAGAACCCGAAAAGAACGGAAGTACTTCGAAAATATATTTTTA